GTGTGTATGTATGTATGCATACATGTATATGTGTATATATAAATAGATATAAACAGATGTACACAGAGAGATGCAGATAAATGTAGCCGTTCAATCCTTCAGGTGATATGAGAATGCACGTTTCGAAATAACATAAGGTAATATACAGCAGCCAAGCTGGAGCCAAAAAGAAACTGGATTATTGCCACGGTAAGTGAGGATGGTGACTAGTAGTACTAACAATATCACCACACTCTCACGGTCAAGCTGGTTAAACATGTAAGAACAGTAATAAGCACACGCGCGCACAACGAAGTAACCAGACCGTTCCTGGCCAGGTAAACCGACTGCCACATCTCTATCATGGGACTAGGATGCCTTACCCTTTGCGAATGCCTCTGTTGCGAGGGATGGGTGCTTGCTTGTTTTGATGTTCGGGGGTAGGGCCGCGTGTGGTGATCCATGTCAGAGCGTGAGCGTCGCGTCATCCACAAGCACAAAATGCATTTGCGGCATTCAAGAAGTGCCAACTCCAAATATGCAACAATCAACAACTCCATTATGCCAGCATAGATAGAGCAGCACGACGACGACCATGACGACACGACGTTCACGAGCACGACGACGAGGACGACCACCACCACAACCACGGGAACCTCCACGACAAGCACACGAATATCAGGACGACCAGAACGAGAAGAACCACAAGGTGACCAGGAAACCCCAAGAGACCCCAGCGATCACCACAAGCACCAGGAGACCACACGAAACCAGCAAGACCACGAGACGGGACGTAACGGCCAAAATACTTCACCACATGTTCTGGCGGATTTTGTGGCAATGCTTTCCACATGTAGTGACGGGATGCAGAAGCACAACCAAAGTGCTTCCGCCCATGTAATGGCGGATTCAGACAAGCACCATGCTTCCCTCCTTTGTACTGGCGGGATTCAGGACGGCGTAAATGCTTCTTCTGTGGCGGGATTCGAACTTTTCGAGTCCAAAATGAGGTCATTATCCGCATTTGCAGGAGCTGCGCTGCCCGCAGGATGCAGCGGCTGTGTCGCAGCGCGCGTTCGTCTCGAGCTTCGCCATCCGATTCAGCCCCCGCCCATGCCGAGCTCTTCCAAGCCGTAGACGCAGAAATGGCTCCATTCTCCATTCCGTTTTTTGCTGTGCGATTGCTTCGAGATTGCAAGCCGCGGTAAACCCGAAACTAGCTTCACATCCGACACTGTTGACTACTCTTCTCGACTCCCTGTTTATGTGTGCGAGCTTGTGTTCTTGAGCTCAACGATTTACGAGCGAACTAGGAATGAGCCTAATGTGCAGGGTGTAAGGCAGGAAGCTTCAATGCAGAATCAAGATTTGAGGTTTCGGGTTTTGCGATTTTCAGCTAGACTCGCGCAGCACTTTTATCTCGCACTGGACTCGCACTAGAGTACATGACAGCTTTTTCAAACTCGCAACAAGGAGTGCGAGAGCATCTTATTATCAATTTCATTCACTGCAAACAGTAAAGGTTGCATGTGTGTAATTCTCGCTTGTATCTTGGAACAAAATCAACGGCTCTCGCCCGTTCTTCATACTTATTTAAACGAGCTTCTCAATCCCCTTTATCGTCGCAGGATGTATCTCTTCTGCCTCTCAGCAGGACATTAAGCTCCTCACTTTCCCGACAGCGCACACACACACACACACACACACGCTCCCTCTTGTGCGTGCAGATGGGCTGGATGCAGGCTTTGTTCGTTGAGTCCTGTCGCTAGTCTGGCTTGCAAGTAGAGAAATAAGCGGTCATCTGCCCATCAATTCGCCATGAATCCAGCAGCTCCCAACGTGGCAGCTCCTCCAAAAGCAAGAGCTTTCTTCTAGTTCTCACGAAGGGATGCAGAGCTATTGTGTTGTATTATGCAAAAGAATAAGAATGCCTTCTATCCCTTAACTCAATTCGCCGATCTCGCAGAAACAAGAGCTGAGATTTTCTGTCAACTTTGTTCTTCACGCCATGAAAAAGCTAACAGCTACTCATTCTCCTAGCATGAAATGAAACCCCCATGATGGTGGTTGGCACAAGTGATGTAGATGCAGATTTATGTGTCCTACAGTGCTGCCGACGTTTTGGCATGCTTATTTAGTAGAACATGTGACAGCTCCTTTAGTGCTTTCCTCTGGATTAGAAATCGGGCTCCCATAGGAGCTAGAAGTAGCCGACTTCTTTCTTCTTCCGACGAGATCGATTTTCAATGTCCTGATAAGACAGAAGACCAGCAGAGCCTTTCCGAATTCTGCCGCTTTATCAACATGAAAAGCTGTGCAAGCCCGCGACAGTACATACTAATTTTCATTACCGTTTGCCTTTGTTGTGCCGCAGTTGCTCGCTGCACGCTGCCCAGGTTGTGTCCATAGGCTTGTCGCCACATAGCGGCTCTCTGGCCGTAGCCTTGAGCTCTTTTCTGACTTAAACAGCACCTGCGTGCAATGTATGCCGTGCAGAGGTTCGTGTTTTCGTTTCGGTTCAACACAAGCATGCTGTCCATCACTGTCACAGGGAATACCAGGTGCACACGCGCACACACACACACACAAACACGATTCCTTGATTTGTTTATCCACGCACCTTCTGCTGTAGGAGAGTGGCGCGGAGAACTGTGTGACCCGTGACGAAATGTCACCGAATTATGCCATGTCCAGTGCCTGGCAGTCTAAGTTTGGGTGCAGCTCAGCCAAATAACGATGAATTCTTGGGAGTGTCGGTCAGGCATGCAGGCATGGGACTCTCGTTGTGTATGAAGAACTTTGAGCAAGTTCAAAGCAACAAGCAATCTTCTTATAATCTTTTGGCTCCTGAGGCTGCACGTTGTGTCCAAGTTGACGTCTTACTACAAAAATAGACTAGAATAGAGCAGAATAGAACAGAACAGAATCGAATAGAATACCCAAAAAGGAATTCCCAGGGCTCTCCCAGGCTTGCGACTCAGCCCTGCTAGGCACGTTCATGAACGACATGGTCTCTGCCGTCGAGCATGCGTGGCCTCAACCAATAAATGCCTGCTACTTACCGCTTGCTCTGGGAGGGGCGGGGGTTGGACCAGGGCTACATCTTGATGTTTGTTTTCGCTTTTTCGGGCACCGTTGTACACAATCTCCGTCTGCTGGTTGCGCCGGGTCATTCATGCGTCCGCCTGCTGATATGCAGAGTTTTGGTCATGTAGTCAGATCCCACTCGGCTGGCCCTTGGCTGATGGCAGTGTGCACAATGGGGCTTTCAGAAAGCAGAGGTTCGCACGGCGGCTGCCAACCGGCCTGATGGTGAGGTGCCTCAGGCCTTCAGGCAGAAACAGGCCCGGAAGCGTAACGGTAGCCTGCCCACCTGAAGCTTGAAAGAACATTTCTTGGAACTCACCGGGCCAGTCTATCGTGCCGGGCGAGCTGGACATTCGCAAGACCATGGCGCAGGCAGGTTCATGCGGAAGCCCCTTCGGGAAGGGTAAAACCCCTGCCTTCTCGGGAGCTTTTGAGTGGTTCGGGGTGCAAAGGGAGCACAAACCCGCGCACCTACGGGGGAGCAAAGCCACATTCCTGGTTCTGCCGAGAATGTGAATCGAAGCCCCACAACACATGGAGCTTCACTCGTCTCACAGTGTCTCGCCTCGGATCAGGCTCATCTGGGAGCTTCCCTGAGCCTTTGGGGCGAGGTCGATGCCGCCTCAGGAGAAGCGACTCGGCTGCACGGCTAGGCGGAGACCTCATGTAGAATGTGATGATACTCCTGCTGCTGCAGAGATCCCTGCGGAAACATTTTCCTCCGAAATCGCACCGAAACCGTTTTTAAGCAAGACGCGCGACATGCAAGCAGAAGTCCAAGGATCTGCTGAACGTCTCTGCCTTGGTGGTCTTCGGAGCCACGCTCGATCTCGGGAGTGCTTTCTGGCGTGCGGTGGTGACGCGCCGGGAGAGGGACTTCGGCTTCGTGCACGCGCCGCGCGCCCAGCTGCATCCGCAAGGGTTCCACAAGCCTTGCAAAGCAGACCAAACTTCTGAAACATGGAGCCGCGGCCTTACATCACAAGGGTCCAAGCCCAGCAGGCCCTAGCGTCGCACGATGTCGCACCAATCACGGCTTTTCAGAAGGTTCGTTCCAGTTCGTCCAGAGTCTCCGAATCAGACCTTCGCACATCCCTAAACCGTTATCCCCTCAACTGGCACGCGCTGAGTCCCAGTGTGAGAGTGAATCTCCAACAAGCTCTGTAAGGTCGCGAAGAGGCGTTTGGGGCGCGTTGGAGCATAGCAGGTTGCCAACGAAGCTTGGGGCATAGTGCTTGTTTTTTTTTTTGTGGGGGTCATTTCAGCAAGATACCGCATTGTAAGAAGATTCTTGGAGACTCGATGGCCCGTGAAGTTTGTGGGATTTTGGCCTGCTGAGAAATGGCGCTGTCCTGAAATTTCAGCTGCGTGCATAGTTCCGAAGAGCACAGGCAGGCAGATAGTCTTGCACGTTGTTATGCTGATCTTCTATATGCCGCTGCAACTACGCAATGACACATCTACGCATCCTGTATGATTGCGCATTTTGCCCAGTCGACTCCGAGCTTTACATCATCATGTCGTATGTTGTGTCGTGCCAGTCGCGGCTAGCAGTCCATGATCTTGCCCACTGAAAAATTCAAGACAGCGTGCAGTGCATTGCATCGTGACTTTTCAGTTTCCTGCATGTCTGTCCTTTAAACTCTAGTAGGCAGTTTTCACTGATGCTGGGAGTGCTTCACAGCAAGGCACCGTGTGCTTCTGGACATTGGGTGCGGCCAGCTGCGGATTTTCGATGACAGTGCAGGCAACGCATCGTTTCTCTTCCTCTCTCCCTCTCTCTCCGTCTTCCTCTCTACAGCCCCAGCAGACAACATGAGATTTGTCCTGCGCCCTCGAAGCTGCCTCAGTCAACTGTAACCTGACTTCGAAAACGCTAACACGGCAGTGCGGAAAAAGGGGAGGCATGCGTTGTCAGCCGAAACGCAATGATCTACCTGCTGTCAGGTGCTGAGCCATACGGGAAGCTGGTGCACTCTGCCGATTTATATGTGCCTTGCAGGCACTGCAGCTGGTACTATGGCCGATGCCATACAATATTTCAAGAGTTTTCCGAATCGACTTTATGGCTCTGCTTCCCAGCCGACAGCAGGAACACATCGCTTTTAGGAGACATGCAGGGGACCCTGGGACCCTTGGACCCTAGATTCACGCGAGACTGTCTGCTGTCCTCTGTCCTTCGCACAGTCTCGGCTGTACATTTCCAGACTCCGAACTCCAGCTCTCCAACACTGGGTCGGGATGAAGCGCTGCAGCCGATCCTGAAAGGGTTACAAGATTCGGATCGCGGCTATAGGCGCTTTCAATCTGGCACTTGGGGACTTGCATTGTAACTTAGCTGCTGAGTCGTCAAACAGCGGGTCAATGACCAGCGGCACGACTGGAAAGTCCAGGACCTCTGGAAGGACAAGGAGTTCGATCCGGAGAACACAGATTACGGGCCATGAGCCCTGGCTCGTGATTCAAGTCAAGTCTTGGGCGCTTGAGGCTTCTGTACTGTGGGCATCAAGGCAGCCCCATCATCCTGGGTCCATGCCTTTAGGGCTTTCGATGTCGATCTGAAGGGCAGGCGAACTGACTGGGCAACACACCACGAAGCTTGTGCTTTTCGCAAAAATCGTTGGAGACTCAGGCATGTTTATCACTGAATCCTTTTGGCAAAAGATCCTGAGCTGCACGTCTGAGGGGCCCGAGATGACTTAGAATTCTGGAGTTCGGTTGAACGGGAGAGATGGATTCAGGATTCGGATTGGCCACGCAAAGCTTCCTTGCAAGGCCTTCCTTGGATTCGATGTCGAATGTTTCCGTGCTGTCTCTGTGCCCTGTCTGGGCCAAGGAACTATTTCTGCGCGGAGGTGCCGTGTTCCTTGCATCACTCAACCGGCTGTGCATCGTGAGGTGTACCGTAGATCATCTTGCAAACGACGCGGCGTGCACGATTTGTGAGTTCCCGGTATGCAAACGAGAGCGCAGGCGCGGTGGAACTCCCAGCAGGAGCATCATCATCGTCGTCGTAATTGTCGTTGTCATCATCATCGTCATCTGTTGGTTGACAGCCTCGATCGATAACAGAGTGCCGTGTTACGACCATGAGTCGCGCCTTGGCAGTGCTTAACATGGCATGCGAGGCGAAATCCATGAAGTTCGTGCGAGAGGCCCTGTCGCTGCAGTTGGTGCCTTTGCAAACTTGGTGGTTGCTTTTGCAGAAGTCAGGTCCCGTGTTTCTTCCTCGTTGCATTCACCACAACACCCCTGCTAGTACTACTGCTGCTACTACTACTACTACTACTACTGCTGCAACTACTACTGCTGCTGCTACTGCTGCTGCTACTACTACTACTACTACTACTACTGCTGCTACTGCCACTGCTACTCCTACTGCTACTGCTGCTGCTACTGAACTGCCACTGCTACTTCTACTGCTACTGCTGCTGCTACTGAACTGCCACTGCTACTTCTACTGCTGCTGCTGCTGCTACTGGTGCTGCCGCTACTGCCACTGCTACGGCTACTGCTGCAGCTGCTGCTGCTACTACTACTGCTACGACGACGACTACTACGACGAC